ATCATTTTCACGCAGCTCACTTCTGAGATTAACCTGCATAAACCAAACATTTGCTCAAACAACACTTTCTACACATCTAAAACCTACAAACAGCAAATTATTGAATTCTAGGTACTTAACCAAACATTTTCAAACCACAAGCCTATAAATATACCAATTGTTTATGGACATTTTTATAACGCGGATACAGGTAGGCAGCGTCTCGTATATATTGATCTAGCCATATAATGTCGAAACCACAAGCCTACTGCAGCTCTATCTATATCGGTGGGAGGTAGATACTTTATACTTCATGTGATCAAACGGTCCAACGCCAAGCATACGAGAGGACCACAATCCCCTCTGGGTCCTTTCGTTTGTTGTGGTGCGGTCTCGTCTCTGCTAACTGTGATATTGAGCTTCTTTGGCTTCTTGTTTCCAGAACGAGTCCAATAATTTATCGCATCCAAGTATTTAGCCAAATAAGAGCTCTATCCCTTAATAATATCTCTTAAATCAACCAATGATATGTAATTTATCATGCTGTCATATACTATTGCCTTAAGGGATGGGATCTGAAGCTCGACGAGAAGCCAATGGTTACGTTCCAAAACAGGGATAAACATCTGCAATCATAAGTAATAATTCATTCATTTGCACACTTATTTATGAATACCTTTAAACTCAATCTAAAATAAACACTAACCTTATCGACCTCCCACCATGCAGGATAAAGTTTAGCTTGTCCATTGCCCAATGCAAATGATTCATCTCGTTGATTCTTCAAGTGAACGGCGTTAAAAGACGTCGACATAATTGTATACCGTGTATTTCTTTTATTTTCCTTAAGTTTCCTAATTATTAGAAGACGTGACACCCACGCATCATATGCTGTTTTACAAAAAAATACATATATTAGTAACTTACATAAATTTACAAAAAAAAATAATCAAATGAAAATATAAGAAAAATATAAGACTTACCCCTTCATCGAAATAGCCATTGTCTTCGACCCCTAATAATACGCCCCACCAAGACCGATCAAGCAACAAATAGATATCATCATTGAGCTTGCATATGTCAGTGAAACACCCCTGGCTTCGCTCATGTAGATAAAAATCAACTGCGGTCTTAGCCCAAAGGGTGTTATCCAGAATTGTGTCCGGTAGTTGTTTCCTCTCCTATTCAGATACCGGTATGGTACTGGCCGGTAACTCATACGAGAGCCAACTTGAATCCATCATGTCCGGCACGTCAGAGGGTTTCTCAAGAATCCTACATATGACGCCATGTGAATCGGGCTCTTGAATGGTGGGAGGGACCTCTTCAACGATGACAGTGACCTCTTGAACGGTGGGAGGGGACTCTCGAGGAATGATAGGGGCCTCTTCAACGATAGGAGTGGACTCTTGAGGGATGATAGGCGAGTCGGGCTTCTTCTTGCGGTGTCTTCGCACTATTGGGGTATACGGAGACTTAATAGCACGTGCACGCCGTCTGATGCGTGAACTCTGTCGTGCAAGAAAAACCCGACGTAAAGCATCCACCTTATCGGTCCGCTAAATAAAAATACAAATATTAGTAAATAAACATACATGATATTTAAACAGTGAAAACAAAGATAAATATATTTCAAACTTTCAACCAAAAGACAAAACAAAGACAAATACTAACTTCACAGTGTTAAAGTAAAAAGTTTAGCAGTTTTGGCAGCAACAGAATAAATTTACTAAGCAATCTAAGTGAAATGGTTAATTTAAGTGAAATTACGAGTAAATTTATCATCAAGTTAAATATGGAAAATCTTAAACTTACCTCGTTGCGTAGAGTATGAACCTCATTCTGCAACGATACTACCATCTCACGTAGAGCGGCAACCTCACCACGTAAAGTAGACACCTCCACACGCCATGCACCATCGTTATCGCGTAGAGTACCGATCTCCTCACGCAAGGCATTGACCTCATCACGTAACTCCCTTGACTCATCCCGTGGAGGTGGAGAACAGGGAGATAGAAGTCGTGGCATCTTTGTCGGTCGCCTATCATGAGGTGATGGTGGAGAAGAGACTCGATGATGTGACGGGATAGGTGATGGCTCTCGTTGTAGAGGTGTATAGTCGGGTCGATCAGGTGATGGCTCTGGGTGAGGTGATGGCTCTCGAAGTGGAGGAAGTGGAGGCTGCTCATCATTCGTGCCATCAAAAAAACGCTGACTAGCTTGCCACCAATCAGTGGCAAGCTCAGCCTCCGTGGGTGTCAGTCTCATTAATGGAGTGTTGGCCTCCTAAAAATATAAAAACTAAAACAAAGTTAAACGTCTATTATTAATAACTTGTTTATATGATAGTATTTGTGTTAACTTACATTATTTATTGTCGCATATGGTATTAAGTCTTCCCAATCCAACATACGTTTCCTCTTCCAGGAAATAGCCCTAGGAATATCATCTGAGGATTTTAATGCATATGTCCGCATGCTGGGGAAAGCCTCGAATATCCAAATCTACAAACAATATAATAACAAACATTAGTAATTGTTAAATAATTAATTATAATTTTGAAAACATTATATAGAAATTCTTACCTTAAAGGCCCAAACAAAGCCTGACAAAGTGTATTTCGACCCATCGCCCCGCAAACTTTTGCGGTCATCAAAGGCAGACGACAACTTAGTCCAGGTAGCTTTCCATATATACGAACCCCACAGAAACAGATTCCATGCATTTAGGTCCTCTACCAATAATATTAGCTCCTGAGAAATAGGTTGTCTGGCCTCTCTGCCTAAAAAGCCGGCATACAAAAGTAGTAGAAGGCATACTCGGACAACATTGACGTCATTCATCCTAGTAAAACCATCTTTCTTATTAAACAATTTCTTCATGTCGTCGACGTGTAAGTTCGGCTTCTCTATTGACTCATCAGGAAAAACCCTGGATAACCATGATGGGCGGGTGATATGACGAGTGTACCGGCCTACATCATCGTGTCCGAATCGTAGACCAGTGATTAAGCAGAACTCCTTCCGCCCAAAACAAGTATACGCCGGTGGAAAATGAAACCATATCTCTTCCTCACCACGTTGTATACTGTCGGGTAGATCGCTAGTCATGGTCTGAAGCCACAAATGGGTCAAACTAGCATCTCCACCCGGATGCTGTACTCTCAGCCATGGCCCGAAGCAGGTTTCTTCAAACAATTTTCTTTGTGCAGGTGAAAGCTTCGAAGCAATTGTAGTGGCTAGGCTAACTTTATTCCTTAATGTCAATGAAGCCGAAAAAAATTTCTACAAAAAAACAATAAACATACCAAGTTAGATATACCAAAAATTACACTGTCAAGATATACCAAAAACAAAACAATAAACATAAATAGTAGTTTATTCTTGAAACTAAAATTTGCAACACTGTTTTTATCTTTTGGTTGAAATGAAAATCGCAACGAGATAATGAGAATCGCAACGCGGAAATGACTATCGCAACGAGAGAATCGCAACGCGAAATGACTATCGCGACCAGACAATCGCAACGCGAAATGAAAATCGCAACCGCGAAATAAAAATCGCAACGCGAAATGAAAATCGCAACGCGAAATGAAAATCGCAATACGATTTTGGTTTCGCGTTGCGATTTTTATTTCGCGTTGCGATAGTTATTTCCGCGTTGCGATTTTCATTCTCGAAACTATTCTTCTTTTGCATTACTTCAACCAAAAGACAAAGCAAAGACAAATACTAACTTCACGGGCTAAATAGTTTAGCAGTATTGGCAGCAATCGAATGAATTTAATAAGAAATATAAGTGAAATGGTTAATCTATTATTGAAATTACCAGTAAACTTATCATCAATCTCAATATGAAAAACCTAAAATAATGCAAAAATTTCAAAATAAAAATAAAAAAAACTAACCCTCGGAGGTTGATTTTCCATTTCTGAATGATTGTGAGGGATTTTTGACTGTGAATGGTTGTGAGGGATTTCGCCGGCGATGGGGACGGAAATCTTCGGAGATGGGGACGGATTTCGCCGTAGAGAGTGAGAGATGGAGATGGGACTGAGTGTTGTGTTTTTGGGTTTGAGGTCATGAGTTGCGATTACTGTGGACGGTTCAGTTTCCGATTTATTAAGAAAAAATTCGTGTTTGGAATTTGAAAAAAAATACGCGTTAATACGAATGGCGCTATGTAAATCGCGTTGCGAAAGTCAGAATCGCGTTGCGAAAGTCAGTATCTCGTTGCGATTTTGTATTATCGCATTGCGATAGTAAGTATCGCATTGCGATAGTAAGTATCGCATTGCGATTTTCCCAATTCGCGTTGCGATTTACTTATTCGCATTGCGAATTGGGAAAATCGCAACGACATTGTATACCATCGCAACGCGATTTCTAACTATCGCAACGCGAAATGCAACGCGAATTTGCGATAATGGAGATCGCGTTGCGAATTAGCGATCGCATTGCGATTTTGTTGGTCATTTTGGCAAATCCGGAAAAAGTTGGTTAAAATCGTATATTATATGGGATTTTTGGTCACTGAGGTTATTTTCTCTTACAATTAAGCTATTGTCCTTTAAAAAATACATGGTTTAATTATACTTTAGAACCCTCTCAGTTTTAAAATGAACTTTTGATTTTTATTTTTTTTGGTTTAATTGTACTTTAGAACCCTCTCATTTTTAAAATGAACTTTTAATTTTTAATTTTTTTAGTTTAATTACTTTTTAAGATCCTTCAATTTTATAACTAGTTAAATTAAATCATAACTCCTTCAATTTTTGATATATTCAATTTAAAAGATCCTATTTAACATCTTATTCCCTCATAATTCAATCCTGACTCCGTGTCTCTGTCCCTAATTATTTTAATCAATAATATTATTTGGGTACCATTTTGATAATTTAATATAAAAGGGGTATTATTGTCAGAAATTAGCCTAATTTTAGAGACTAAATAATGTAACTTCGTCCAAGTGCAGGGAGGAAGCGTAAAATTTGACATTCTCTACTTACTAGATCTTTTGCTTATAAATATTTTCTCTTCCCCAAAACTCAGAGAGAGAGAGAGAGAGAAAGAGAGAGCTCAGGCTCCGATCATAGATATTAGTGTTTTTGTTATTTCATAATCAAATTCCTTATTATCCAAAACTCAAATCTTCAGATCAGGTACGTTGTAACCTTAAATTAATTTTAATTTTGTCACAATTGATTATTTGATTGTGTAATTTCTCTATTGTTTTTTTGGATTTATATTTAGGGTTCATGTTGTCTTAAAGGTCTTATCCTGATGTCAATAGACAGAAAAATATTTTCCGTTCCTTTCTTGAACTTATTGTCACTACTGTTGTTGCTACCCTTTGGGTATAATAAAATTATTCAAAAAGTATTGTATTCATTCACAAAAATATGTACTTTCGCTTTCCCTTTAATTAAATTTACAATCTTTATGGGTATAATTTAGCCTTGTTGTTTACTTCCTTTATGTGGGTAAAAATCATTGTTACCCTCTGTAAATTAGATCAAAAAGTTAAGTTTCCCTTTCGCGATGATGCCGAGGTTTGTTCATGGCTTATGCTTGGAGCTACAAAACGCTATGTACGAGTCTGTGTGCTTTATTTTTGTATAGATTTTGGATTTGATCAAGAACACTGAATTTTTTTTCATGAAATTCGTGTTTGTACTTTGATTTTTGTTTTCCTTTTAGCTGAAAATTAATTTCGTACAAATGTCAGTGGTATGATGTGAAGAAAGATCAAACTTATTTAATCTAGTAAAATGAAATCACTGATGGATATTTGGTCCTGCAATGTAGGTCTTGAGTGTTGTTTGGCTCTTTCGATTAACTAAGTTTCATGTCTGATCTCGACGTCCAGATTCCTACCACATTTGGTAAGCATTTCCTAGTCATATTAATTTTTGTTATTGGAAAATCTCACTAGTATGCTATGCCATGTTGCTAGATCCGTTTGCTGATGCAAATGCTGAAGACTCTGGTGCCGGTTCCAAGGAGTATGTGCATATTCGTATTCAGCAGCGGAATGGTAGGAAAAGCCTGACTACGGTCCAAGGATTGAAGAAAGAATTCAGCTATAACAAAATCCTTAAGGACCTCAAGATAGAGTTTTGTTGCAATGGCACTGTTGTCCAGGACCCGGAATTAGGACAGGTCTGTCTTTAACCAAATAAGAAAGCGTTCGACTTTGCTTATTGTCTTTTTTGTTCATTCTTAATTTTACTATACTTGATTTTCCTGTAGGTTATTCAGCTTCAAGGCGATCAAAGGAAGAATGTCTCTACCTTTCTTGTTCAAGTAATTGCCGCTACCCTCTTCTTTAGATATTCTTAAAAGCCTGCTAGAGTACTCAATACAGCAACTGTCTTTGTTTGATTAGTCATGTATCTTCAAGTTGTTAATTACTTTTCTGAACAGGCTGGTATTGTGAAGAAGGATAACATCAAAATCCACGGCTTTTAAGCCTTGCGGCAGCAAGAACTTCCTGTAGTCGTCTACTCTTTTCTATTCCAACATGAAACTCCTACTTGATTAACCAATAGCTATATATATCTACTATTACGATATCTCTTGTTGGTCTGCTACTGATATATGCACCCTGTGCTTCTTATGCTTTTCAACTCTTATGCCTATGTGATGTTGAATGACAGTGTAAACCACCATGTATTTTCTATTTCTCAAATAATTAGTTGTTGCTGTTATCATCTGAAGTTAGAAAATCTTGAAATTTTTAAGATCGGATCGAATCGGCATATGCATATGTGATATCGGACGAGTCTTTAAACCTCTTCTTGTTTTGGTACTTGGTTTTAATATTTATATCATTTGTATGGTGATGATATTGAGAATATAACCACCATTTATATACAGTGAACTGTTTAAATTACAGCTGTAAACAAATGATTAGATATTTTTAAATCATTGGAAATTACCCTACCTATATGAATATGAATATAACAATCTTGATGTTACCTGACATAGAAAAAAGGAAAAAAGAAGTCGTTGAAGAGGCAGCCTTCGGTAAATTAGATAGGGACTGATGAATTCTTGATGTTACCTGACCCTGCCAATTATTTTTTGTTGGATTATGAAAAAAAGCAGTAGTATATGACTATCATGTAGACATTGATGTCATGTGAGCTGCTCCCTCTTTTTTCTGCTATGCACGCTTGGTGTAATGGTGGTCCTAAGGAACAGGAATCTTCTGTCCCTTTGTGTGTCCCTCTTTGTGTCCCACCAGTAATGTTTTTACACGTGTATTTTTATTATTCATGGCAACACTCATAATCTTCCACAAAAATAATACTTTCCTCTTTTACTCCTTCCACAATCCACTCTACTGTTGTTTTGGAAACAGAGTAAAAGACATGTTATACGTGCTGCTGTCAATTATCAAGATTCAGAAGTGGGAGTATGCATATTTTCTATCTGCATCCATAAGAAATCAATAATCTTCTTCCGCACACACAAGGGAACGGGCCAATGACAATTGTACAAGGAATGTTCTTCCAAAAACTCCTAAGCATTGTCTAACTAATAACCACCAACCATATCCAAATAACAGGTTCATTTCATGAGATGAACACGAATCAGAAGTTTATTTCATGGTTAAATCAAATTAACATATTATCCTTCAAAGAGAAAACAAACACTTAATTCATAAACATAATTTATGTGGGACTGGAAAATAGTGGCCATTAAGATGAGTCTGTTAAGCAAAACCAAAACAAACTGCACAACCTTTTGTATGCTAACAGTTATCCCTAAATAAGAGTTGTTTAGTTATATGAACATAGTGAAATCAACAGATTAAGTTGACAGAAACTTACCACCATAAGAAGATAAATTTGTTTCACAGTATCTTCAAGCATAACAGTAGAGTAGATTGTAGTAGATGAAGTAAAAAAGGAAAGTATATTTTTAGAAGATTACACGTGTTGCCGTGAAAAATATAAATACACGTGTAAAAATATTACTGGTGGGACACAAAGAGGGACACACAAAGGGCGTAGAAGATTTCTATTCGGTCCTAAGTAGGTCGCTAAATGAGATGAGACAAATCATGAGCTACTCGAATTTATTCGACCAAAGTTTTAGTGAATATTTGAATAAAATGGATTCAACCTCAATTCAAATTTTTAATAAACCGAAATAAACTATTTGATATCCGACTAGAAAAATTCAAGAGTAACTAAAAGAAGTCAATATATTAAATTGTTAATTTTAAAATTAAATTATTAATGATATTAATGTTTATACGTTATTGTTTTTTAGAATGTAATATAATATTTTTATGTATTTTAAAGTTCATATTTGAGTTTGAACTGAGCTCGAGTTTGAGTATGAGCTTCAATTGAGCTAAGTGAGAATATTTTGAATTCAAATTTTTTTGAGTTTAAGTCAAGCTATAATTTTTTATTTTGAGTACAAGTCAAGCTTCAATTTTTTATTTTTAGTACAAGTCAAAGTTGATAATTTTAAGCTCGTGAACTTTTGAGTCGAGCTCAAGTTTAAACTTTTCAAGATGAATCGAGTTCAACAATACTTAAATTCGACTCAACTCAATTACAACCCTAATCATAAATTTCGATGAATTTATTAGTGCTGTGATAGGGTAATTTTTTTTTTACAGAAAGTGAGTTCTAATTAAAAACCCTCCATAATCAACAAGTCGAATCAAGTTCAATAATCCATTTTTTATTTATTTTTGTTAATTAACACTGACATTTTCAACTTTCTTTTTAAAAGCAACTACATGACTGTAATTTCGTTTAAAAAAATTAAAGATATTATTCACAATTATTTTATATATAAAATATAAAAAAATTAGGTACGAGGGAAGAATTTGTGGCTTTTGTCTATCTCATTCTTACATTTTAATAACTTTTATATATAAATATAAAATGACATTCTCGTATAACAGAGAAAATAAATAATTATCATAATCGTGAATATCATATAACATGTAAAGTATTTCAAGATCTTGACCTTAAAAAAATTGTGGCATCCTCTTTGATCATACAAATTTATTAAACTGCACAATGTTCTAGTGTCTTAATTATCTAATACATTTCATTTAAATTTGATATTAAGTTTATTAATAAAATTTTGACATATTTTATAGGATTGATCAGTCGATCAGTTTATCACAGGAAGAAAATTTGAAAATTATCAAACTAATTTTCAGATTTTTTAAATCAAAATAGACTGAATTTTTTTAAAAAAATTGACAAGATCAATTAATAAAATTTACAACACGTTCAGTCAGAAAATTAATCAAATAAATTTTAAATTGATTTTTATATATTATAAAACAAATAAAAATTTTATAAAGGACGTATTAATTTATTGTTATTGTCATATATTATATATAATAATTAGTATATATATATATACAAAATTATTTTATTTTTAAAATAATAAAAATTTAATTTGATCACTATTTGCTCGTTCGTGCTCGAAATTACTCCTTCAGTTAAAATTGTCAAACCCCCAACGATTTCGCAATCCTTTACATACCTCTTCCTTTATAGCAACTGTTAAAAATCTGACATTTATCGAAGGCGTTTCCTTGGATTCTTAAAAATTGCCATAAGCCCGAGGTATCTAAATCTACATCGAAAATTCACTCTCTGTACCTTTCTAAGCATCTGAACAAGGAATTGGTACCACTAATCGACCTTTTTTTTGTTCTTTTCAATTTTGTTAAATTATAAAATTATGACTAATATTTTGACCTATTTCTTCTCTTTGTTAGGGTTTTATATTTCTTATCATTCGATTCTATTCCTATTTATTTTGATTATTAATTCGTTTCTATTGGCAGTTTTTCGAAGAAATGGAGGAGATGTTGGCTTTGGTTATTTCATTGTTTCTCCTTCTAGCGTTAGTTCCTTTATACCTATGGAAACGCCGTCAGGATACGCAGTCAACCGATTTACATGTTGAAGAACGGCAGGTATTTTTAAAGTTGTTTTAAAAGTTTTAATCTTCCCGAAAAAAATGGGTTTTTATTGGTTGGTATGGGTTATAGGCTCCAAGAAGGGAAAACGTAGTACGCCATGGGGCTACTGGCGGGCGTAGTAGGATGCGGAGGAGACCAGCTGCCGGAGGAGCTAGCACGTCATCAGCTGCAACTGCTGAAGGTTTGAGGATTAGATAGAATTGTGAAGTTTGAATTATTGTTGTGAATTTGACAAATTTATTGATCGCTGACAAAATGGGACTTTCCTGCCATAGTTGTGAATTCTGTGTGTGAAATAAGTATAGGAGAAAATATGACTATATAAATTGATGGTATGTTATTATCTCTGCCAATGAGAGAGATATTTTTTTGAATTAGTAAAGTGGTTTGAGAGGTGAAACGATGGTATGTTTTATCTGTTTGATACCTTCAAAATTGAGAAGGTTTAAGGTTGTGTGAGTGAATATAGGGAGTGCTATTTGTGGACTAACAACATATCGAGGAATGACATATCTTTGATGTTATAGTGATTTCTTGTGAGGAGCGAGAGAAGGGTTTTTTTTTTGTGAACATGAACAAAGCTTTATTTTGTTGATGATTTTTTTTGTGAACATGAACAAAGCTTTATTTTGTTGATGAGTCGTTGAGATAGATTATGTAAGCCCTTCTTAATGAGCCTGGGATCTTTCCGGAAAGGTGTCAAAGGATGCAACCAAATGACACATTTAGGATAGTCTAGTTCCCCACCTGAAATGCTCTTTCCTCTTCTTGGGGTTTGTGGCACTGGTTTAAGCATTTGTCTATTGAATTGTCAATGCAGAAACTACTGATGGAAGTGAGGGAGAAGAAGAAGGAGATGGACATCATGAGGCTAGAGCATCAAAGAAAAAGGAAAAGAAAAGGCAAGAAAGGGAAGAACAACGAAGGGTATATCATAATCATCTTATTATTTACTTATCTATTTTGGTTTCTGTTCACTAATTTGATATGATTTTTTATCAAGGCTGAAGAGGCTGCTCGCGAGTCAAGGCAGACTAAACAGGATCGGTATTCTGAAATGCGGAGGAGGAAGGACGAGGAGCGTGAGGCTGAGGAACGTAGGCTGGTCTGTTGTTTTCCTTCATATTTGTGGCAATTAATTATATATACATAATCCAAGCACATAACCTCTTATATATCATTTCCTGGTTCAAGGCATCTGCTATGGCTTATGCAGGAAGAAGAAGCTAAAGCCCGAAAGGCCAAGGAGGAAGAAGCTGCTGCCTTGGAGTTTGAAAAGTGGAAAGGAGCATTTTCTGTTGATGCTGAAGGAACCACAGAGAACGAGTTGCAAGATGGAAGTCAGGACTTGCTTTCTAATTTTGTGGAATACATTAAGGTACGAGCCCTGTATTTATAAATGATAATTACACAAATTTTCTTAGGCTATTCTTTTCAGTCTTCTAAATCTCTTCCTTCCGTAGCCTTTCCATTGACAAGTAAATTACATATCAAATGTGTATATCTGAAAGCACTCTTACATGGAAACATAATAAACATTTTTTGAAGTACACGAGCTGCGTAATAATCAAATAAGCATTAATCTGCTTAAGGCTTCAGAATGTAGATTATTTGTTTTTAATGTGTTTGTAAATGGTCTTGCAGAATCATAAATGTATTCCTTTGGAAGATCTTGCTGCAGAATTCAAATTGAGAACCCAGGTCGATATGGCAATGAAACATGTTCTAATTTCACTTTATCCATATTTGTTTGCTAGTATAGAATGAATCAAGCAAACACTTTGCATGCCATATTAAAGGAACCCGTCAACTGAAAGTGTATTGCCTCTTGTTTTTCGATCCTATCCCTGTTTTGCTTCTAACGTTGTACAACATTTATTTGATGCAGGAATGTATTAATAGGATCGCTTCCCTTGAAAGTATGGGTATGTAACTATTATCTGTTTGGGGAACTGACTTTAGGAAATGAAAATTCCAACCCATGTGCTTGTCTTCCAGAGCTTAATGATTTATGTGTCAACCCTATATTTGCTGTGTGTGCAGGGCGACTTTCAGGTGTCATGGACGATAGAGGGAAGTATATATACATCTCGATGGACGAGATGCAGGCTGTAGCCGACTATATCAAGCGTCAAGGAAGGGTTAGCATCTCACATTTAGCAAGCAAATCGAACCAGTTCATCGATTTAGGGCCGAAAGTTCAGTTTATAGAGGAGATCAGCGCAGCAGAGGAAATCAACGTTGCTTGATTCAGCTGTATCTCCGTAATATGTAGGACAAGTTCAGTGAGGAGAAATATAGCAATGGCATCATGAAAGGTGCCAAATTGAAGGATTTCTGTTTTTTTTTATAACTTTTTTACATGTTTAATGGATGAAGTCTTGTTGTGTTTCTTTTTGAAATCTTGTTCTCAGAAGTCATGCGATATCCACTTATAAAAAACGGTTAGATCTAACGATCAATTCTGTTCGAAAAGATGAATTAGTGAAATTTATAATTTTAAATCGAAACATAATTCAAATCGTATTAATCCATGAACATCTTTATTTTTTATCTTTTACTAAAAAGAAATTATGTTTTTTTTAACAAATCTTTGAATGCCAATCTTAATCCAAAAACATCGAACCTGATTCTATGTCCGAATCTTACAAAAAAGACAACTGGTCATGCCTAAAATTCCCGGTTTTAACTTTTTATATAAACTACACTTATGTTCACTGAACTTTTAAGAAAAGTTCATTTTAGTCACTAAATTTTAATTCACTTTTTATTTCTATCATTGATGTTAGATGCCCTTAAAACTTTTGACGTGACATGTTAACCCTAAAAAAACTAAGATTTTTTTTAAAAAGGATAGTCGTGCTTCTCCCTTCATCGTTACTTTTATGGTTGTTTGATGATTTTTCAGTCGAAAAGATTACCTTACTACTCATCTTTTTTTTCCCTCACTTCAAACTTATCAAAAAATAAAAAATAATATCATTAAATCTCAATCAAAATTAAAAACTATTTTTTATTGATCAATCACCATCAATTATCGAATCTAGTTAAAATCAAATTATGTCAATATTATAATCAAATGAAGTCTTCTTACTATTAGAATCGTTCGACAATTTATTCGTTCAATTAAAACTGCTAATGTCAAATGAATAATTTTTCTTTTTCTAAAAATTTATTTTTATTATTGCTTATTATTTGTTATTGTTGGTTGTGAATGTCAATAATAATAAAATGACATGAAAATGATAACGAAGATAGAAATAACAACTATCAAATTGGAAGAATGACTGTTAATGACAATAACTGTAATGAAAGTGAATTAAAATTTAATAATTATAATATAATTGCTAAAAGTTCAATGATTAAAGTAAAATCAGCTTAAAAATTCAACGACCATCGATATAGTTTCCCTAACGTTTTCTTTTTCCCTAACCTTCAGACTTTGAACTCCCTGCCCCCTTAACACCACACGTCTCGCGTTTCACCATAACTTGCGTAAGACCTCCGAAATTTCCAAAAGAAAAAAGAAAAAAATTTCTTTTAATTAGTAAATTATTTCCTAGGCCTTTCCTTTCTATATCCTTTCCTAAACGAAAAAAAAAAAAATTAAACCCCAGCTCCGACGTAGCATACCGTTAAATTATTCTTTTTATTCCCTTTCAATAACCCAAATTTCGATTCTCCAGAAAATCCCTAAAATCCTTGGATCAGGTAAGTTTTCCCTTAAAGCTTCTGCAAATGTTCCTTTAAATGTTTTTGCGGGTTAAAGATAAATCTTTTAATTGTCCGTTTCTTGATAAAACACTTTTGTGATCGTGGGTTTTGCCTATATAGTCAATAGTTATTTTAGTTTGTTTAATTGGTATATGAGGTCTTAATGTTTACTTTAAATTAGACAGGAATCTGTTTTGCCTGAAGAAAGGAAGCAAATTTATGATTGTAGGTTTCCTTGTTTTTTATTTGCTAGGAAATTTGTTGTTCATTCTCGTTTTTTATTAGATTAGTTTGAAAATATTAATATAAAGTTTTGATTATTTCCTTATTTGGTTTCTTTTGTAATCATTTTTAATGGCTTGATAATGTGCTGCTTGAATTAATTTAATGATTTTTGGAATGAAATTGTAGCTAATAATTTAAGATTTGTTTCCATAAGCGGACTGAGTCTTGGTTCGAACTTGTTTAAGGGCATCTGTCTTCGATTTAGCGATTGAGGGATCACACATTGTTTATGTCAACAAGTTTGAATGTTGTTGTGATTGAATATTGCTTGCTTCTGTTTGGTGATATGTGATATGAAGTCAAATTTTGATGTGGGAATTGCTTTACTTCTGTAGGTCCGAGCTTGTGGTTGTTAGGCCTCGTTGATCAACAAGTTTCATGTCTGATACCGACGTCCAGATTCCTAGTGCCTTTGGTATGTTTGCATCATAACTTGAATATGCTATTTTTTTCAGTGGTCGATAATCTGTGGGTTTAACTTTTTTTTATGTTTGTTGTGGCAGATCCCTTTGCTGATGCAAATGCTGAGGACTCGGGTGCGGTCGCAAAGGACTACGTGCATATTCGTATTCAGCAGCGGAATGGTCGGAAAAGCCTGACAACTGTCCAGGGGTTGAAGAAAGAATTCAGCTACAACAAGATACTCAGAGACCTCAAGAAGGAATTTTGCTGCAATGGCACTGTGGTCCAGGACCCTGAATTAGGCCAGGTGTGTGTGTGTATAACTATCACCCTTTTAAGCTATCATTAACATCGATATCCATTGTTGGCCAATGAACGATTTCATTACGTTTTATATTTCTATTTATGGTCAGGTTATTCAACTTCAAGGTGACCAGCGTAAGAACGCCTCCACCTTCCTTGTTCAGGTAATTGTTATTTGCTTCATGGAATATCTAGACTCCTTAGGTAATGCCGTGTGGAGTTTAAGTTCCCGACCCTCATCGTTTTCCTTACCAGGCCGGCATTGTGAAGAAGGAAAACATCAAAATCCATGGTTTCTAAGTTGCAGATGCTCGAAGTTTCCAGCTAAGGTTGCTCATCTCTTGTCGAAACTGGGAATACTACTTGATTTGGGATAATATCTATTAGTGTTATATCAACTTTATGTTGCTTTGATTACATCGTATATGCATATCGTATTTCGTGTGCTTTCCAGATCACCGGATTCTGTAATATTGGATGATTATGAACTCTGTGGAAGTTTGTTGCTCTATGATTCAGAGTTAAAACAAGTGCTCTTTTAGTCATTACGTATACCATCTTCTGCATTTTAGTTTGTAGCTATTCATTATTCAGCTTTCAGGGACATTATGGGGCTATTCTATCCTTTGAAAAGGGCAAAATTTTCATCAGATTCTTTCTTTTAAAATAAACTCTATTTTGGGACCTACCCTTGTAGATTGGTCCCCAAAGTTATTTATTAAATAATATTATAAATGTTAACATTAATAAACACATTATAATTAAAATAATTATTATAAATGTTAAAATTATAAGTTAACATTTAAGTTCATTAATTGAATCTATTTTTGGACCTACCCTTGCTTGATAAATTTGTCTTGGACAAAGATTTTCTCACATTGTTTAAACTTGAATTTGATTTAAATGATAAAAGTATTTTAAATTTAATTATAGAAACATGAGTATTTATATAAAAATATTATTTTAATATTATATAGTACATGAATAGTTAAATAGATAGTCGGGTTGAATTTGTCGGACCAAATACTAGCTTTTACCTGATTTATTTTTTAAATTGAACTACAATCCAATACCCACTCATAAATAAATTAACTCAAATCATATTTAATCTATTGACTTAATAGTTTTCAAGGTCCTCAAACGTTTTTAAAAATCAATTAAATTCTTTTATTATATTATCATTCATGTGTGGACTGTCTCGTCGAAATTTTAGATAATCATATTATCACAATGGATCATTATGTCTCCACAATAACGATTAATGTCGTTTTTCATTGACCAAATGATCATATTAATTAATTTTATGAGTTTAAAGATTTAATTAGATGAAAAAAGTTCAGGGCTTAAGTTGATTATTTTCAAAAAGAAAATAAAAATGGAAGGACTCACGAACTATTAAACCAAAAATAATTGAACTTTGTAACCGTAAGTGCTCCTCAAATTACCTATAAGGACTGATTTTCTGTCCTTATAAATGAATAACTAAACTAAATTAACCCAAATCAGATTTAAAATATTTGAATTTGAAACCGTAGTGTCAGTGACTTTGCATTTCTGCCCTCATTAATGAATTTGCTTTATCTTCACCTATGAACGAATGGCTCAATTCCCAATCAATGGATCTCTTACAATTAGCAATTGCTCATATAGTGGCTACAAGACAACAGCCACTTGTCATACCATTTTGGTAATTTGAAATTTATATTATTTAAAAAAAACGAACAATTTCCCATGAAAAATCAAAGATATTTTATAACAAAGTAGAAATCAAATTCACAAAATGATAAATGACGTACCAAAAGTTAATAGCTTATTGATGATAAAATATCACCAAAAAGCTCTTCAACTTGAATGACATCTAAGAGGTAGTGGGGTGAGAGTACCATTAGCCATCAATTTGGCTGAATCCAAATGCACCAAATAGACCATCTTTCTTGATCATACTTGATTTCATTGAACGTGATATGTCTCATAGGCATCAAAATAAAGTCGAATTAAAAGTAAAATTATATAAAAAATTTATAAGAATATTTTTACCATTATGCTTACATTGTATATGTAAAATATCCGCTTACATACCTACGATTCTAGACCCTTCATACCCTATCCTTTTGCCACGTGTCCACTCAGATATTTCTTCACTCTCCTTGCTCCACTCTTACATATTTTGTCAATCTCTTTACTTCTTCTCCGCATTCTGATCTCCTCTGAGCTTCAAAGAAACCTCAAAAACCAGTGATCTTCTCGTGTTTCTTTCTCTATCAATGGCGTCTTCCATAGCTACGACTCTCACTTCTTCTAAACTCTTCAGGAACAGTTCTCTCTTCGAGTCTTCCTTCCATGGAGTTCCGATAAAGCCACTTTCATTTCACCCCAAAGTAAAATCTTCCCCATGCAACGCATCGGTTTCTATGTCGGCGACACCGCCACCACCGTACGATCTGAACAATTTCAGGTTCGACCCCATCAAGGAGTCCATCGTGTCTCGCGAGATGACGCGTAGGTACATGACGGACATGATCACCTACGCCGATACCGACGTGGTGGTCGTCGGTGCCGGATCCGCAGGGCTCTCTTGCGCCTACGAGCTCAGCAAAAACCCGGCCGTACAGGTCGCTATTGTCGAGCAATCTGTTAGCCCCGGTGGCGGCGCCTGGCTCGGTGGGCAGCTTTTCTCTGCCATGGTAATCTGAAAAAAAATACTCATCTTTTATGAAAATTTCTTCTGTTTTGAACTTAAATATGCAATATTTAAATATTCGATTTTTAAGGCCTTGATATTGTCTAAAACTCTTCCGTTTATTCAGGTCGTGAGGAAACCGGCTCATCGCTTCCTTGATGAACTCGAGATCGAATACGACGAACAAGACAACTACGTCGTGATCAAACATGCAGCTCTTTTCACATCCACAATCATGAGCAAGCTCTTGGTCCGCCCCAACGTGAAGCTGTTCAACGCGGTGGCGGCGGAGGATTTGATAGTGAAGGAAGGGAGAGTCGGCGGCGTTGTGACGAACTGGGCCTTGGTGTCTATGAACCATGACACACAATCCTGCATGGACCCCAATGTGATGGAGGCCAAGGTTGTGGTGAGCTCTTGTGGACACGATGGACCGTTCGGTGCCACCGGGGTTAAGAGGTTGAAGAGCATCGGAATGATCGATAGCGTGCCGGGGATGAAGGCACTCGATATGAACACGGCGGAGGATGCCATCGTGAGGCTGACTAGGGAAATCGTGCCTGGGATGATTGTTACAGGGATGGAAGTTGCAGAGATTGATGGATCTCCAAGAATGGTAAAATTCTTTCCTTCTTTTCACTTGCATAACAATCATTGATGCTTTTAGCCCATCGGTGTTGATTTTTTCGCAAATACAGGGGCCAACATTCGGAGCAATGATGGTATCAGGGCAGAAGGCAGCTCATCTTGCTCTGAAAGAATTAGGATTGCCTAATGCACTTGATGGAACAGATGTGGGAAGCATCCCCTCGGAGCTGATCTTGGCTGCTGTTGATTCCACCGACACCGTCGACGCTTAGTCTCGTAGTATCGATACCAATGGCTGCAATGGTAGTTGCTAAGTTGCTATGGAGATGAAGGATTTGAATAATGGCAGGAAATGGAATAATCTCCTGTAACTTGATAGCAAAAAAAAGCATAGCATGTAGATTCCTTCTTCTTGTTGTTGTTGCTGCTGCTGCATGCCTTTGAATGAAGTACTGCTTGCTTTCTCTTCTACTCCATGCTGCAGTAACTCACTCCATGAACAGTTTCAAAATTAAACAACTCAACACTTAGAATTAAAAAGGTTCCAACTTCCAATATCTATACCGAACAAATTAAGCAATCAATCTGGGAAAGCAGGGGTCCTTGTTAAATTGTAAACAAAAAACTGAATACTTCTATTAAGTGGTTAACGGAAGTTAATGACTAAAAGATTTAAATCGAATAAACAGTAAGAGATCAAGTACATTTTATTTTTGAACCGGTAATCAAATTTGGTTAGATAACTTCCATTAGAGGGTTAATATGATTAAATGGTCTTAATAATAAAAGAGATCAAACGTATTTAATTTTTAAATTGGTGATAAATTCGATCAAATAAAAAATAAAGACGACTAGTTGTATAGTGTAGCCATTAATGAAATAAGACATTAGTTTCTTTATATGATTTTTTGCTTGTTTTCTTCTTTAGATCACTTCTTCCATTTTGGCTTTTGTTTCTCTTTCGCCCGCTAGCTTATCCTGGTTGAAACTATTGGTTGTCTTTTGTCTTGGAATTTGTTTTGTATTTTTATGTTATTCCTTAATAAATTTTCAATCGACACTTACTTAAAAAAACATAAAATAACAAATGATGCTGCTCGTAAAATAAACTAACAAGTTAAAACGGCAAAATCAACGAGTTAATGCGTTGAATTTTTTTTTTCACGAGATAGTGCTCTCGCCAGATTAATTGCTCAGGTGGTGCCCTCTACAGTCCCGGGGTAGATCGCCATGCACGCCCAGCGACCTACCAGGTCGCCATGCACGCCCAACGACCTCCATGCGCGCCCAGCTCGCCAAAGGTCACCATGCAATGCACGCCCAACGACCTCCATGCACGCCCAGCTCGCCAAAGGTCACCATGCAATGCACGCCCAACGACCTCCATGCACGCCCAGCTCGCCAAAGGTCACCATGCAGTCCATGCTTGGACTGAACAATGTTGGTGGTTTAGACATGGCCCTGGGCGAGGTTGGAGTCTCTGCAGGGCAACGTGGCATGGGTCTGGGCGAGGTTGGAGTCTCTGCATGGCCGTGCATGCATGCAACGTGGGTAGGTAAGCTGCAATCAATTTGAGCTGTATAATTCACGTTGAAGGCTGTAAATTTTTCAACCGTTGAACGCTGCAATAATACAACACTAATTACTGCATGCAATATGCTGCACCAATACATCTATGATAACAAGAGTGAACAGTCTCGAAGCTATGGCATGAGGGAGCAGCTATGGCTAGAAGCTAGGGCACGAAGCTATGACACTTTGCAGCTCAAATCATGCTGCAATAATACAGCTATTACAGCTGCATGCATGAGTCTCCTGAGCAGATGTAAGAGGAATCACGCGAGGAGCAGGAGGAATAGGTTCTCCTGAGCAGCTGCAAGTGGAGAGGATTGTATGGCTACCTATCCTGCATGGCCCAACGTTGGACGCCGGCGTGCATGGCGACCTATCATCTTGGTCGTCGGGATTGCTTGGCGACCTACAAGGTCGCTGGGAGTGCATGGCGACCTTGTAGGTCGCTTGGAGTGCTTGGCGACCTATGGTTGGGTTGTGCATGTCCCATGCACGACACGATCCTCGTCACGATCCTCGTCGGAAGCCACGTCGTAGGTCGCTCGGAAGGCATGGCGACCTACGGCCAACTGTGCAATTCACCCTACTTCATCAATTAATCTTGGGAGAACGTTATTTCATGAATTATTTATTTCCAAAGCATTATATCGTGAGTTTAGCCAAGTTAAAACATATGTGGTTTGCTTCCATTGCCATTACAGGCACGCACAAATTAAAGAATAATCTAAGCCATTTATCTACAAGAGAAAAACCAGGAATTTGTTTGCCATCACGAGTTCTTAGACCAACAATCTAAAAGCAGTAAAAAGAAAATTTAATCGACCAAAAACAATAATTTTACATGTCCGAAGCAGCCGCAGAGAACTAGAGGCAGAGAATTTAGCTATACTTCATATCCCTCGTGTTCTTTCTTCTTCGTAACCTTCTTATCTCTAAACTTCAGGGATTCACTCACAATTCTTTCACCGCCTTGGCGCCCCTCTTCTCCCTCCTCCCCTCCTCCGGTGGTGACCGTGCGGCTAACTTCTCTCCCTCTGTTCTCCTCCGCTGCTCTCTAGGCTCTTCAGCATTGGCCAACAAACTAATAATAATAAAGGGATTGGAGGTGGAAAAAGAAGAAAGGAAAACCAGGCATGAACCTGTTATTTCTTGCATTAATCTTGATCCATATAAGAACTCAAGTCTGTAATGGCGCTCCTGGAGACGACAATGCCTATGCCGACGAGGAGAAAAAGGATCCGGCGCCGCTACCGGGGATGAACAATTGTAACGGTGTGTGGAAGGCGTCTCTCAGCTAATATTTTTTCTTTGTTTTTCTTATTTTAACTACTTTATTTCCCTATAGAAAACTACATGCATGCATGTTGCAAAAAGGATCAGAAATTGGAAGGCAGGAGTATGGGGAGCCAGTACATGGCTAAGCAAAATGGAGACCTCAGCTTCATGTACGATGTCCTGAAATCATACGAAGGTAGCTACGAGGCACAAGTGACGATGGACAGCAACAGCCCCTTGGGCAAACTGGATCGATGGAACCTGACATGGGAATGGATGAGAGGCGAGTTCATTTACTCCATGAAAGGAGCTTACACTCCTCGAATGGATCACTCTGAATGCATTCACGGCCCAGCCGCTAAATACCTCCAAAACTTCGATTTCTCTCAAGTCATGAACTGCGACAAAACACCAACGATTACCGACTTGCCGCTTTCAAAGGCAAACGATACAGGGTTGGTAGGATCCCTTATTGTTGTAAAAACGGGACTCTTTTGCCTCCATGGATGGATGAAAACAAAGCTCGAGCTGTCTTTCAATTAAGAGTCTATAAATTGCCCCCTGATGTTCCTCAGGAAGTGTTACATCCGCCACAAAAATGGAACATTACGGGGTATCTTAACGCTCGTTACAAATGTGGAGCTCCGATTAGAGTAGATCCGACGGAATTCCCCGAACCGTCGGGTCTCGATGCGAAGATATACTCCGTCGCGAGTTGGCAAGTTGTCTGCAACATTACGAAACCAGACCCGGACAAATCCAAGTGTTGCGTTTCGTTCACAGCTTATTACAGCGATTCCGCCATTCCATGCCCCACGTGCGCTTGCGGATGCGACGATGACTACATCGACACCCATAAATGCAATCCCGACAGGCTGCCGTTGCTTCTCCCACCGAACGCTCTCCTTCTCCCTGCGGAAAACCGGACGGAGAAAGCTCGAGAATTCTCCGAAATGAAAAACAAAAAGGTCCCTCATAAGTTGCCTTGTCCAGACAACTGCGGGGTCAGCATAAACTGGCATCTCAACTCCGATGACAAGGCCAGATGGACGGCGAGGATGACTCTGTTCAATTGGGGAAAGCTCCCGTTCATCGCCTGGTTCGTCGCCATCGAATCGGAGATAGCGTACGAAGGTTTCAATGAAGTGTATTCGTTTAACGGAACCAACAAGCTGAAGAACGTTAAGAACACAATTTTCTTCCATGGCTTGAAAGGCTTGGAATACTTGTTGGCAGAGAAAAATGGGGATATACCAGATGATCCAAGAATCCCCGGGAAACAACAGTCTGAGATCTCATTCACGAAGAAAGACACACCCAATATAGCAGTTCGAGAAGGCGATGGGTTCCCTTTGAAGGTGTATTTCAATGGCGAAGAATGTATACTTCCCGATAGGTTTCCGAGTTCCTGTCACCGATCTCGATTTTCCATTTCTACTTTCATCTTCATATCTATCACCACTTTGTTGCTAAATTGCTGATATTTGGATTTTGGTTGTTTTTATTGGCTTGTGGTGTATTAAATTTTGGAGAGCTTTATATGATTGTTATCATTGATTTTTGAATAATCTCCACTAACATCAAAATAATTGATCTTTTTATGACTGGAAAATTTGATTTGATTTCTTGTCATTGGTCCAATGTAGAAACTAGGAAAGTAAGATTAGTGAGATTTACCTTCTTTATCCAACTATGGCTCTCTGATCAACTTATTAGGCTTAGGAATCTTCCAAATGTTCATGAATGAACCTCAACAGTGTGAAACAACTAGATGCGTAAATGAATAAATGTTTGATGAACTGTAAGTTGACCGTTTATATAACGATTGTTTATCAAGTTAAATAAACATTCATTTAATAAAACAAGTGAAAAAAGATTTTATGTTATCATGAATAAGGTGTGTTGGTTTCATTTATGTCCACAAACAAGTTCGTTTATAAATTTATTTATTAACTCATTTATAACTTGTTTATTTGATTCTTTCTTTTTTAAGGAATTAAATTGAACATATGGTGAATTTTAGAGTTTAAAGTGCGAAACTTAAATAACTTAAAGACTAGTGACCTAATTATATTATTTTTCTCTAATAAAATTATAAAAACAGTGTGCAATCACAAAAATATTTATGGAATTTACGATCCGCCTCTAATAATACATGTATCCATAAATGAGCAGCTTACCTATGCATTGAAAATGATACTTTTAACGTAGCCCAACTTAACAGGACTGGCTGGAAATTACAATGTTTTTGTTGGCAGTAACATGCTCCAACTCTATAAATACAGCGAGTTCCAATTTCATTTGCAAGTGAAAATGGCATCGAATTTATGCAGGTTGATTTGTTTCCTTCTGTTAGCAGCAATGGTGTCTGCAGGTGATCCTGATATCTATCGGACTTCATCGGCCCTGCAAACTCAACGGCCCTTGATGGGAATTTCTTCACTTTCATCGGACTTCGTGGAATACATGATGCTGATTATCCACCGGATTTCAAGGCTACCAAAGCTAACATGGCCGTGTTTCCGGCCCTCAAGGGCACCAGTGTCTCCTTTGCCACTTTGGAGTACCCTGCAGGCACCCTCAATCCGCCTCACATCCATCCTCGTGCTGCCGAGCTCCTTATCGTTGTTGATGGAAGCCTTGAAGCCGGTTTCGTAGACACGACCGGGAAACTTTAATGTCAAACTCTTGAGGTTCTTGACATGTTTGTGTTCCCGAAAGGACTTGTGCATTACCAGTATAATCCGAGCTCTGATACTCCAGCCATGGCTGTCTCGGTCTTTGGTAGTGTGAATGCTGGGACCGTTTCGGTTCCATCCACCGTTTTCGCCACCGGCATTGATGATAACATCCTTGCTAAAGGCTTTAAAACTGATGTTCCTACTGTTGAGAAGATCAAGAAAGGTCTTGGAGCCTAGGCCAAAAAATTGAACCCTCGTTTGCTACCATGCTAATAATCATCTTTATTTGATTCAGCCTCCATGGATTTCTGTAGGGAAAAGATGAATTGCAGAAAACCAAATGTAGCAATCATGTAATGGCACTATTTTTTAGTTTTGTTAATTTCTTCATTTTGACATATCATCTTTTAAATGGAATACCGAGATCGGTTTGAATCATCTTAATAAACCTTGTGGAATGAAAACAAAGCCATAGGTTATCTCCTGTTTTCATGGCTGAATCATCCAAGGAATTTTCAGCAAAGATATTGAAAATAGAGATGGCATCTTGCCCACCATTACCGTATACATGGAGGGCAGCCAAGCACTAAATTGAAGTTAGTTTTTCTTTGCCAGCCCTTAAAAAGGGTGCTTTTGGATATTTCCCTATCTTAAAACTTAGAATTCTAGGGAGGGAAACACATGTAGGTTTCATACTAACATTTTTTTTTATATTGCCACAAATACCTTGAATGGGTTTATTACATCCTAATGGTTATTTCATGAGGTATAACACAACAAAACAACATGAAAAGTCCCCATTTTGCAGCAGAATAAGACCAGACATACATATTTAACCAAATATTAGAACCCCAAAGCTGGAATCATTGCTAATAGCTTAGAAATTAGAATCCCCTTCTCAGGCCTTGGGTGGGAATCCTTCTTTGAGCTTCTGAATTGTGTAAACATCAGTCTTGAAAGACTTTGCTAAGATGTCATCATCTATGTTAGTCCCAAACACCGTAGAAGGAACAGAGACAGTGCCGGCAGCTGCACTACCAAAGGCTGAAATCGCCATTGCAGAATCGTTATCCGCACAGTTGAACTGATAATGGACTAATCCCTTGGGAAACACAAACATGTCACCGGCTTCAAGTCTTTGCGTAAACAGCTTGTTAGTAGTGTCCACAAACCCAACTTCAAGTATGCCATAGGTGAGAAACAAAAGCTCGGTGGCACGAGGATGAGTATGAGGAGGGTTAACAGAGCCAGCAGGGTACTGTAAAACAGCATAGGAAACACTTTGGCCATTAAGGGCAGGAAACTCAACCATGGTTGCTTTCGTGACAGTGAAATTTGTTGGTGGAGTAGAGTTAACGAGTGGTCTTATGCCGGTATAGGTGAAGAAGTTTCCATCCAGTAGAGTATTATTGGTTCCTGGTGGAACCACAAAATCAGAGAGAATATCAGGATCTCCACTTATTGCTGAGAAAGGGAAGGCAATAACTAGAATTGCAAGGAAGAATCGTTGCTCGACAGTCAAGGCCATGGCTGAAAAAAAAACCTTGGAAACAATGCTGCTATGTCTTTAGACATCAGCAAGAGTTCCATAAATATATGGGGGAGTTTCTTGGTATTGTCGATTACATATTTTTCGGATTGTTAATCCTGTGAATTTGTTGAAAAAGACGAGTCAGAAGCAGGGCAGCTGTAGGCTCAAATTTTCTTGTCTATGTTCATCCCAGGCTTTCTTTTTTCGGAAATCTCAAGATGTTCTTTTAGGCTTTTAGCATATCCATATGATTTCAGAAAAGGGGAAAAAAAAGCAAAGGCATATCATCATTTCGTGTTATTTTTTGTTTGGAACTACGTTGGAGATAATTATTTAGAGGCTTAGGTGTGTGTTTACAGATTGGGAGAAATGATAATTTCATGGAACAAAAAACATCTTTCAAGGATCAAATTGAGAAAAATTATAATTTCTTGGACTAAATGATGTTTTATTCCTTGGAAAAGGAGTGGCATGATTCCTTGCACACTAGTAGTTGGATCCGGATGCTTGTAAAGCCAACTAGATCAATGGCCAAGAAAACTGATGCAATATAACATGCAACAAAACTAAAGACACGCAAACATTTCTTTTCCAGACAACGAGTGGATAGAAACACAAAGTGGAAACGAAACCACCTTCATCTACTTCGCTTTGTCTCACAGAACCAGAAACAAAATGGCTTCAATCCCGTGTACTTTCCAAATACCCTTTACTTCAAAGCCCATAAATTCCATCCCATCTTTGCCAAAGCTCGGTTCCAAGTTTCTGGGTTCTCAAAACTCTCTGTCTTGGTCTAGACCTTCAAAGATTGGACCCTCCAATGGTTCAAGGACTCAATGCTGGTTCAAGTTTGGTAAGACTGGTGTTGATGCTGAAGGTGCTGGCATTTATGGAAGCCAAAGCAGAGATGATTTCAACAGAGATGATGTTGAGCAGGTTGTTCTTTGATCTTTTGTACTTCTGCTTTTCTTTGCCGACCAACTTGTTCTTCATCGATTTGGTTAATTGAAGTGTAGGAAACATGTTTGGTTTTATGATTTTAGATGATTTCACGATGATGTGTCATTACAGACATAAATGGAGGATTGAAAATGAATTAACTTATTGAATGGTTGCTAATAATTATATCATCATTACAGAGAAAGCTTCCATTGATGAATCTATTTTGTTTGCAGTATTTTAACTACATGGGGATGCTCGCTGTGGAAGGCACCTACGATAAAATGGAAGCTCTTTTGAACCAAAACATCCACCCAGTAGACATATTGCTAATGCTGGCCGCATCGGAAGGCGACAAGCCGAAAATCGAAGAGCTGTTGAGAGCTGGAGCTACGTATGATGTCAAGGATGCAGATGGACGCACTGCCCTTGATAGGGCCGTCGATGAAGAAACAAAACAGTTGATCCTTGGTTTTTCTGTGCAAAAGGCTTGATCTGGTTGAATTTATCTATTTCAACCACTGATATAAACCTTGAGTTGAACCTAGTTTGAAGATTGTTGGATAGAGAGGAAAAATTAGCATTTCATGTATAAAATTCGCCTATAAATTCAATGAACTTTCGTTATCGACTCTAATGATGATATATAATGTCATTTCGTATGCTCTTCTTGTTTATAGCACGATGAGTTTGCTTTGTGATTAACCTAACTGGAAGGAGAACAACGGGTTCAAACTAAAAGTATAGGAAATGAAAAGTTAAAATTATGTTTTCAATTAAAAGCTGTTTACATATCTACAATTCCAGAGAGTTTGATGAACAATGTATTGTACAAGTTAACGGAGAAAACAGGGAATAAAATGGAGTTCATGGAAGTTGAAACATCTATTTGAAGTAAAGCTCAAGTAGCTTCTTCGAAGTGTCGAAAATGCTCGTAAAAGGGTTAAAGTTCTACAGACGCCTTTAGTTCAAGATCAGGGAATTGGTTTGTTAAAGCTTTTTGCATCCCGGACATGGACATCATAGCAGCTAGCTGACTGTTAGACATCACTTGACAATCTTGTGGGGTGTCCTTGATTTTGCTTGGATCATATACAAAATTCGCCAGGTATGATTTGTATTTATCTATGAATTCGCGTCCTGGATTTGGTGTTCCTGAGTCGATCTGAAACAACAATACCAGATTCGTAAGGAAATATTTTTACATATCTGAAACATTAAGGCCAAAAATCTGACGCAACTGGTATATTACTGCATGATTTGAGATGTGGTTGCTCAAAGACTAGCAAGAAATCAGTCTTTTGCCTCGATATATGTTTTCTAAAAGTAAAGGTATCCAAAATCCGTGTTTAACACATATTTGAACATAAGTATCCGGATACAACACTCCATAGATCCTGAAACAAGGGAGTAATTATCGTAGTCGGTAGCAATAACATCATATGTTTCTTTGGGGATAAAAGGCAATGTAGGAAAACGAAGGTAACATTTCTCTTTAATCATCTCTTACTTTTCTAAATCTGTTTCATTCTTCCCAATATCTTCCTCTGAAATGCATTGAACCTTTCCTCTTATCCCGGTAATATATCCGTCAGGTCCTCCATGAACTGTTTTCATGTTGAATTTATAAACTCCCTGCAAATTCATTGAGTACATGTATGATTTTAGCAATGAAAGTTTGGGAGTCAAAAAAAGTTATGACAGGATGAAATCTACAGCAGTAATGGATCTGAGATAAGCAACTAATCCTGGTTTCGAGATCTGATGAAAACTAATTTGACCTCTGGTTCATTATGTTATTTGTTGCACTGTATATGGTAAAGTGAAACTAGAGAAGCCTATGATGATTGGAATCAAAGTTACTTGAACAAGTATCAAATATGGGTATGTATCTGACATAGCTATGATTAAATTTTTTCTAATTTTTATAAGATCCTTGGAGATTATATCCTCAAACTCGTGTCAGGCACGCATGTTGGACAAGGGTACTTCAAGAGCAATGAAGAGTCCGAGCAACATAGATTGAAATAATTAAAGCTTCTTTCAGACACAACAATAGCTGGTAAATTAAAATAATAATGGTTAGAGCCAAATTATTAGGCATTATAGGGAGGAAAAGTTCTTCATGATGGTAAAGAGAGGGCCTTAAAAAGAAAGGCTTCACATTTGCGGAGACCTGCTCCTGTATTGTGGTGACTCACAAGTACGGGTTTAAGTCTACATATATCATATAGCGGATCTTCGGAGTTTCTCAATTTGGGAGTGAATCAGTGAAGTGTCACAAAATCAGTTTTGTATCTACCTAATAATGTTTACCTGAGTGCAATGGCAGTCTTCTTGACCCTGGCCAGCAAATCCGCGTTTTAGTGATGCTACTTCTAACCACCTTCCGGAATATCTAACAGGGTCAAAGTTCTTTGCTGTCATACCTCTCATCATCATTAGCATCTCATTTCCTTCCCCAGAATGTTCTTCAAGTGGAAGAATTGGCTTATTATCCATGGAACTCGCAAGCTGGCAGATACTGGGATGATGAGATAAATCAGCTGCAAGAAGCTGCCAACGAAAGTTGGTTAAACTTGAAAACATAAAGAAATCTCTACCGCGATGCTATGATTTTGTATCATTTGGCAGCACCCAAATCAGGGAAAGGTTTAGTTTGAAATGAGATGTCATGAACTTTCCCTGCAAATCCGACACAATTCAATCTCGCATGCTTGAGAAGAAGATTGGAAAATACTTGTCTGAACATCTACTTGATAACTTTGAAGCTTCAAAGTGGGAAATGATTTGAGTGGATAATGAATTTTCTCATAATCTTATAAACCGATATCCGAGATGCAATGAATAATTAGACAAACCCCTCTGGGTAAATTCATCTAACAGTAACTTGCAAACTATGTTTTAGAGTTAAAATTCACTGATAAAACTACTAGAAATTGAAGAAACACAACCACCTCACCTGGCTTGTTTGAGAGAGAAATATCAGTGAAGCAAGACCCGAAACAGTATGACTTGCAACAACTTTACTCAAGGGAGGACTCTTGATAGAGCAATTCAATGTCAATTTCCTAAGCAATCCCCTGTAAAAGCAACACAATCAATACCAAAATTGCTATTAAAACCATATATAATTGTGAACCTATTATCACTTGCTTCAAAGGTTCACAAATGCCCTCTTAATTAATGACAAAATGTCAAATAAAAACAAGAAGCAATTTCACCAATTTCACACCCTGTTCAAGCTTCCATTTTTCTCTTTCATGAATGCTCAATCTCCAGAAAACTTCAACCAAAACCCATTAGTAAAGCTAAATGAATGAAACCCAGAAAAGAATATTAACAACTTATAAACAAAAAAGTTGAATCTTGATGATACCTGGGGGTCTGAGGAGGATGAGAAGATGAACAACATTGAAAAAGAAGCAGTGGTGAAGTTTGATGATACCATATTTCAACACAATCAGTGATTTCACTAAAAGCTCATCGTTGAACTCTCTGTAATCTTTGAGTTTTAGTACAGATTCAAAGTTTTTCTATTCCGTATATTCTTGATTGACATTTTTTGTCAAAGTTTTTAGACACTCTCTCTCTCTCTGAATCATTTCCGTTCTGCACAGAGACGATCTCGATCATTACCAATGATGGACGCAACATTGTGGTATGTTAAGGCATTCTTTCTATGCATTTCTTAATCTTTTGAAATAAGATCATTTTATTTGTGTATTTCTAAACTATTTTTAGTTTCAGTGAGATCCTCATTTGCTTTATTACTCCTTTGTTTTTCTTCTCTCAAATAAAAAGGGAGTTTTAAAAGGCTTTGACCAGGCTACAAATATCATTCTCGACGAATCACATGAACGTGTGTACTCCACCAAGGTTTGTGCCCTTATTCCACAGGCTATATAATTATTAAACTATTATTCATATAATCTTTGGCACCTAGTTTATTGAAGAAGCAAGAGGTTTTTCTTTATCCTAATACTTATGAACAACTTCATTGCCTTTATCTGATCGTTTGCCCACTTCTTTTTGTTCTCATCCTTGATAATTCAAACCCTTGGATAGTTTCCTTTGTTGATAACTTGATATAGTTGATGAGTTGAAATTTGTAGGAAGGTGTTCAGCAACTTGTGTTGGGTTTTTACATAATAAGAGGCGACAACATTTATTTCACGTATTCTGCTTCGTTTTCGATTCATTATTCGGGATTTTCAGTTAGTTTGGCTGCCTACCTCCATATTCTTACTATAACAACTTTTTACCCTTCAATTATTGCAGAAGTGTAGTAGGTGAACTAGACGAGGAGCTCGATTCCTCTCTTGACTTGCAAACCTTAGAGCACACCCTCTTAAGGCTGTTATCCATTGATTGAACTATGAAAGTTTGTAGAGTTGCTAAGAGCGACACTTTGGATTAAGTTCCTAGGAAAACATGTTGAAGAACAAAATATGATGATGAGAAACTAAATGTGTACTGATTTTTGGATGCATTTCTGTCATTTTATTGGTAGCTGTTTAAAATATTTATGTGAAAGACAAAAGAATGAATGCAATATCCACTCAGGATCCATTCCTCTGAAATAAACAAACCCTATGATTTGTGAAATGTACAAATGAAATAGTCTTGGAAAACCAAGATTCATTTCTTTGGAAGATTGGTATCTGAGGATAATTAAATTACAGAATACTACCAAGAACGAAACAGATTGAAAAGAAGGAATGACTTTTTGATGATCGATCATCCGAAGAGACTATCATTGAGGTTTCCGCCGGTGAGCAAGCTATAGAATGCATCGGTCTTATCACCTCCATTACTTCTGGTTTCTTTTGAAGGTACATCAGTTGGATTTCCTGTTGAAGACGCTGGCCTTTTCACAGTTATGAATGCCACTTCCCTCGCATTAGAGCCCAATTTTAAACTCGAGTCAGCAGAAGTACCGGTGTCTGCCAGCGAGTTAGCTTGGGAGACATTCTTCTCCCCAGTGTTTTCAGTAATAACGGTGTTGTCTACTTTTTCAGCAAACTTTTCAACCTGATTTGTGTCCTCGTCGTCATGATCTATGATTAAGTCAGTTGTAGTCTCATTCATCTGGGGTGATATTTCAGTATCAGCATTCTCAGCAGTTGGTTCATCTATAATAGAAATTGAACGAACATGTTAGCACCAAAAATAGATTCATAGCACCGGAGTCGTATCAGCTTGAAACTCGGCATTTTGGAAGCTATAATTTAAAGGATTAGATGACTGTGTAAATCCAGTTAATGTGTGCAGCAAAGAGTCTAGGCGATAAATCATGAATGTCTATACCTCCAAGAACTGACTCGATTGTCTTGTATCGCACTTCATTACCTCCTACTCAAAATTCTCCATCATTGTCCCCTTCTTGCATTTCAATCTCACATGTATTCGTCCTCTCAACCAATATAAACTTATCCGTGTTCCAGACACACTCTAGGGTGACATAGTCCTCTTTTTTCGGATAAAACTCTCTAAATGCCTGCCATCATTGTGAAGTAAAAAGGCTAAGGCTCTGCTATAAGCAACAGGAATTTTGAAAAAAAGGAAATTGGGACAATAAGAATCTATTAAATATGGAGAACGGGGTCAACCTCAATTCCTTGATGATTTAATTTCACGAAATGCTTCATTTGGGAGAGAGAAGAGACAATGTTGAATACTGGGACGATGTCGAGTAATATCTGCAAAAGGAAAACAAAGGCTGAATATCATGCTACTTAGAACAGGTCTGTTAACCATGTGAACTTGATCAATGCAGTCACACAATGGCCTACGTGTGGTACATAACTTTTTCCACAAAACTCGACTATTCAACTGGAAGGTTTTAGACTTACTTGTTGAACCAAAACTCTAAGTCGTGCGAGGAGAGATAAAACAGTCAGAGAAAATCCCATAAAAAACGAGCGAGCTACCAGAGTAGATACCTGACTATAGCAGAGTCAAGGTTATCAAAAAGACAGGAGTTATTCAATGGCTTTAGCATGTGTATTTTAAGGATTTGCCAATATATGCATCACTACCTAACCCGTTAACACAAAACAAAATGTAAAGTCAACTTTCAATCTCTATTTTAAATTCTCTCAATTCTCAAGTAGTATCCAACTTAACAAAAGAACTTGATAAGGATACGTTGTTGCCCTCAACATTGGCTCAACAATCTGCAATAGAAACAGAGAATCCATTCATATATAAATGCCGGGTTAGACCATGCAGCAGGAAGCAGGAATGAATGCGCATAATTACATAGTTATTTGGACTGTACGGTCCTCAAAGGTTGCATCCGGTTCAAATGGGAAACGGTGATAGAATATTTGAGAACATTATGTCAGCTACTCTATTACCTTTCACGTAGACCAAAACATTAAACAAGGGAATTAATGAAGTCACTTGCGATGCAACATATATATATATATATATATGAGAAGGCTAGAGATGCAACAATGTAAACAAAAATCTAAAGATGATAAATCTTAGAGTGCAGTAATCAACATTAAGTTTCTGGATTAAAGGCAAAGCTGGGAAGACGTTTTATAAGCTAGAAAAGAGAAAAATAATAATTTGCAGGAAACTGGTAGTAGCCACAATATAGGAAGAGAAAGAAAATAGAACGTACAGCGTACCTGTGATAGTAACCGTGCTGCCCCCAAAAGCCGCTCCATAAAATTAGGTTTTCCAACATCATATTTTCTCCTCTTCAAACTGTAAAGCAAAGAAAATGAATGAGTGAACCAAATATAGAATCCAGTAAATGTGTCGTGATCTTATAGTGGCAAAAGACATGATTGAATCTCGAGTATGAAATTGATTATCAGGTGAAACAATATTGCAACCTATTATCGCATCACCTCCTTTTCCAACAGATGCATTAGACGGACGGAATAACAAGCTACATATCCATAGGTTTATCGTTTTGATTTTAATCTCCCTAAGCTATTCGGAATTTGCATCAACCAACAGAAAAACAAAGGCAGTACTTAAATTGTAGTGAACTCTTCAAATATGCGATTCAAACATAAATAAACTAACTGTTAACACGCATACCTTTCCAAAAGCTGCACCTTTTGTCTAGGTCTCATTACAGTGATAACTAGAAAGCAGGAAGTCAGTAGTTCCTCCAAATTAACAGATTTCAATAGTCTCAAGTCTCTCCTTACCTAATTTCACAGAAAAATTGACAAGCATAAGAAGAAATTAGAATTAACATAATTCACTCGCATTAAACTGGTTATATAAATAATTTCCTAGTAAATATGGAATGGAATCAGTTACTTCTTAGATAAAAAAGCAGGGAGAAAAGTTCATAACTCAGTTCTAATTTCTAAAGTCCTTTTATTTTGCCCTCTCAGCTTTCTCGGCAGCCAAACAGTTAGTTTCTCAAACTGAAAATATGCAACCCAAAACTCCTATAAATTTTATCCTCCTATTCCTCTCTCTCAGCGTTTTCATCATCCAACAAAACCCAAAAAATTTAAAATTAAAATAGTAAGAAATTAAAACTAACCTTCAAAAGATTCTGAAAATATGATGACCTTCTGTGCTGGTTCTTATTCTTGTAAATAATTCTTTCGAAAATGCCACATTCTACTTCAAGCTGACCCAAAAGAGACTTCAATTTCTCTTCTTTCTCAGAATCAATTGGAGCATCCATTGTTTTGTCTTATTTTTTGCAGATTAATAGACTAAATTTTAATAAAGACGCAATATTTATGTAGAGCTTAACAACAAGAGGGTTTTGGAAAAGAACAGCGAAAAAGCATAAGAAAATTTTATATAGGGGTTCCTAACGGGCTGGGAAAATGTTATACAACAAGAATTGGGTTTGAAACAATGAATTCAGTTCAGTTGGGCTAAAACTAAAACTAAAACCTTTTTTTCCTTACCCAATAAATATTAAAAATAAAAACTATTTATTTAATAGATTTATGAAGCGTCGGCAAATTTGGTAGGGAATTGTGGCGGAAAAAGAAATTGGTTCTTATGAGGTGTTAAAAAATTAATTTTTTAATTAAGGTGGTATGAGCCGTGCACGGTGAAAGATGTATGGATTATATGGCAACTTTGAGAAAATGCTAGAAAGATATAACTTTTTTGGGAAGACGTATAGAAGATGCTACGTCTTCTTCAAACTGCATTCAATTAGAACACCAAGTTTACTTAGAAAACAGTAGATGTCGTGCTTTTCGAACGTCTTCCCATAAACTTCAGATAATTCATGTGTCTTTCACCGTGCACTATAACAAACACCTTATCTTAGAAAATAAATCTCTCATCGCTTTATACGAGTTTATCTTTATTTCCAACATCTCATCTAATCATTTTTGACCTGAAGTGTCAGTGATAACTTACTATCATTTACTATAATCTCTTGATAAGCTTGTAGATAATATGATATTAAAGTTCAATATATAATTTAAAATAAATCGTAATTTGATAATTGGTATAAAATATTTTAAAATATAAAAATTAATTTAAAATAATATCATAGCCTAAAAATCATTATCTCATATAAAATCGACATGTTTAATAAATAAAAAATAAAACAAACATAAAAAAATGTCACGTTTGGTATACGACATTGGTGTTTGCAATTTCGATGCCGTGCATAAAATTTACATGAAGGCTTTCTTTAAGTGATTAGGTCCGTAATCAAATTATTTTTCAATACATTAAGATTTATTAAAACAATAATGAATTATTTTATGTAAGATGAAATATGGTTATAATTAATAACTTAATTTAGTTAATGGTGTCAACAAGTGGGTCGTTTCCACTTCAGTTGATTCACACGCACTCTGTCTTGCCACCCATCTGCTTTGTCATTGTCAACCACCAACCACACCTTTGAAATCGCAACACTACATACATACATTTGCCATCTTGCTGGCCTTTCATCTTTTCTTCATTGCTTTAGTATATATCCAAATTAGAACTACTAAAGAGTCTCGAGTTTGAATCGAATCTAAATCGGATTGTGATAATATTTTTTAAATTTCTTACCTTAGGTTGATCTTATTATTATTTTTAAATATTGATTTCATAATCAAAACTTTTTAGTGTTATAAAAAAAGTTATTTTTATTTGTTGATTAGTCATTAAAATATTGTTATGTTGCTCTTATTTTTAAAAGTATTGTTATCTTGCAAGTTTTTTTTGTTGGTTTTTGCAGTGTTGTTGGATGGTATAGTCAAGCAAGGAAATGGAATCAGGTACTAAAATCAGATTAATCATTATATTTTTCAAACTGCAATAAATTTGTTGATGTGTAATTAATTGCAGCTTTAATTCAATAATTGACTGCCAATACACCAATTATTTGTTAGTTTAAGAAAGGAACTGTTGTCTTGTAAATGGAAATGGAATCAGGCACTAAAATCAGATCGTAATCGAAACAATTTTTTTTTAGATAGAAACAGAAATACCCATTTTTTTTAATTATACTATACATACTTGTATCAGACATACACTTGTTTTTTTACATTTAACCATAAATTCAAGTTGAAAAACGCAAGTCATTAATGTGTCATTTATTAAGCATTTGAATTAGAGGAATTGCTGCCATGGGGGAGTCTTCATTTGTCAATTCTGTCAGTCATTTGACAATTGAGACAGACATTTCCCTATCTTTCTCAAACCGTGTTTAAATATCAAAACACAAAAAGAGGGGCCAGTGTATTTGGAATTTGATTACTTTGGACAAAGAAACTTCCTTTTAGGTCATAAACCGATTTGATAATAATGTTCTTAGAAAAGAAGAATTGTTTCTTTTTTGGGGTAATTTTTAAAGCAATAAAACTAACCAAAGTTGAAATTGGAACAGGCAAGAGCATGTGTGAGGGCAATGAAGGCAACCCTTTTCTTCTCAAGTGCTAAACATAACATCAATGTGAACAAGATCTTCAAGTTCATCCCGGCCAAACTCTTAAACTTGCCATGGACGGTTCAGAGAAACTTGACGGTCGGAGAACCCATTATCGACTTCTAATATTTTTTTCTTGAACTTCTTTTATCCATAGTAATACATAAACTTAGCATCTCTCGTTTTTAATCCTTTTGACGATGTAACACTTTGAGATTATAACACGGCATAATTTTCGAGTGTTACATCATCAAAATTGATTGAAAAATCAAGTTTTTGGATTAATATGGATAAAAGGTTAGAAATCAAATCGAGAAAAATTACTAAATTCAGGGATTAAAAATTACTTTATCCTTGCTTTTTTTCTTTCTTTCTTCACTGATTTTTATGTGCATGGTTGAAATAGAAAGGGAATCAGAAGATGGAAAAGAGAAAATAAATAAAGTTATTCTCCAATTCTTAGCACCAGATTGTCCCCACGACCACCGAAGTTTGGTCTTTCATGGTCTGTTTCACATCCTTTCAATGCCTTTGCTTTTTCTGTATCATATCCATTTACTATGCTCAAATTTGGTTAGACCTTTATCAAACAATAAAATTGGTTACATCTTTAATTTGATATAATTTGATCGATTTACTTTTACAATTATTATTAATTAATATTGTTAAGTATCTGGATTAAAATACTTACACGTTTTTCCCTCTTAAAAACACCCTTCCAACTTTTCATGTCAACATAGAATTTTTTTGTATGTTGGATCGGGTGCGTCGGAAACTTGGAATAACCAACGGTGTTAACTATTTGGAATAATTGATGACATTCTAAAGTAGATGATCAAATTAGGGCTAAAATTATAATTTAAGCATAGTAGAGGGACCAAAATCAATTTTAACCGATATGATATATTCTAGTCAGCTCCCCACCCCTTCCTGAAAGGGTTGCTTATCGTAGGTGGAAATGATGGTGCTGAGTGAAGATGGAATAATTCCTCTTGAGTTTCAAGCAACTTAAAGAATCAAATGAGCATGGTATTATGGTGTACTTATTATAATGCAATTATGGGATTATGGACCGTCCATGGCTTTTTAAAATAACACCATACTATAACTGCAAAACATTTTAATCCATAAACGTTGTTCTTGTTCTTATTAAATATCAGATCATATGGGACCAAGGCTCACAACATTAATCCTTGTTTTATTCAGAAAGATTCCCTCTTAGCCGCAATAAAACATTAAGAAAAGAACAGCAGGCCTTTCTATGTCACTGTTTATAATCATCATGATTGTAAGATTATCTACAATATGAAGATCTTTATCCGACCGAATCCCGGGAGTTCATCGAAATTACAAGAGCAATTCATAAAAACTAATCTGAGCTAAATTCTTCCAATGTTTCATCTTTCGTCATCCGTGTTCCGTGTTGCACGATGAATCAAAATTCTCAAACCCCTGGTTTTTCTCAAGCTTTTGCCTGCAGAAGTGATTGAACAAACACAATTTAAGGAATAACAGAAGTCGATCATTCTCAATACAAGCGAACCATAAATATGGTGTTTAGGAGGAGGAACTGAGCATCATTGCCTTTGGCACAAAGAATAAACTTGTTCTTGTACCAAACTGATCCATATAGTTTAACTATATTGACTTCGTTTCGGCATTTATCGATTTATATTTTCAAATATGGCAAGACTCAAAAGGTACATCTGAGGATCAAAACATTGTAGGAGGCACTAAGTGGGTGTTTAAAGATGGTCCACAAGCAGATCAAAGACACCAAACATGAAAGTGTTCTTAGTTACATAATCAATCACCTGAGAATACAAGAAGGTTCCGAGGATAGCAATGGCGGCTCCAAGAGCATTGACAGGCTGGACAGGCGTGTGGAAGATGATGATGGAAGAGACTATAACTGATATACGTTTCATGGTGTTGCCAATGCTAAATGTCAAGGGAGAGATCTCATCGAGGGACATGTATGAGACCTGGTTGTAGAGATGATAGAAAATACTTTGGGCTGCTACCCACCTATCAAAATACGATAAAAGCCACAAAAATAATTAAAATATCATGAATATTACATCTTGTCGATAAAGAGTATCTGATGATTCAAAATTCTTAGAAGAAGAGCTAATATAAGGTAAACTCTAGAAGCACAAAACACCTTCAGGATGAAAAGTTAAGCAAATGAAATGGTCGCATCTAATCTTAACGTTGTACGAGCGTAATTGAATCTTCAAAGGAACTATGATTATTAGCAGTTTGGTTCAGGTTATATATGTGGCTCGAGGCATAAATTTACTAAAGATTAATCAAACTCGATGAATAAATCATCCAATTGCATCAGCTCTCGAAAAGGAGCATCAACATAGATAGAAACTTTTCAGATGGCACTCCATTGTCTATTTGTGGTTCAGATTAAAAGATAGAATAAATCCATATTCTCTTACAATTTCATATAGGTGATGGAGTATCAAACTCTTTTTAGTAGAACCCTAATCGGTGAGTAAATTCCGATAAGTTTATCTAATGCATGCAAAGCATCTGGTGGAGTCGAACGAATAAATCCAGACAATAGTAAGCGAATGGAAACAGAACTATGAACTACAACTTAGTACTTTATGTTATTACCAGATAAACTGTGGTCCAATTTGAGATAAGGCCGTTTCCCATCCTGCTGCCCACATCTGCGGTCCCTCTACAGCAATTGCAAAAGGTGTGAGAATTACGAGAGAACAAAGATAGACATGCATATTAGTTCATCCCGCTAACGGATTTCCCCTTCATGCCCTTCTTTGAGAATATGTTACGGAGGACAAATGCCAAGTTCGATATCATTGCTCCCATAAAACCTGAAAACAGGGAAACTTG